GGCTGCTGCCCCTGGCTCTGCGTGTCTGCCCTCAGACAGGCCGCCCTTTCCCACCACGCACAGGTCTCTGGGGCCGATTCCTGCTGCTCCCACATCCCAGGTGAAGCGACAGCCTGCGGAGATTAGGCCCCTGGCTGAGGGCCACACTGGGGATGAGCTTGGCTGGGGTTTGAACTCTGATCTGTCTGACCCGAATCCAAGCTCTCAGCCAGACTCTGCTGCTTCCTGAAGTAGAAATGACACCCGGCTCTTACATCTGCGAGTGCTTGGGGAGGAACCGCGTGGGGTGTTTATTCGTGTCCATGATCTCCTGCCATCCGCACACCCGCTGCGAGCAGGGCGGGTAGGGACGGCCATCCCCTCTTACAGACGGAGCTAGTTCATCGAAGTGTGATGACCATTGTGGTGACCACAGCAGTACGGCTAATCCGGGCCTGGGGCCCCGCCCTCCCCACCCAGAACTTGCCATCTTCTCCTTTCGTTCACTAAGCTCTGTGATGGCCAGGGAGGAGAGCAGGGGTCTAGCCCGCCTCATCCTGTGCTTCTCCCTCCTTCCTGTTTAATTTCTCTCTCTGCAGCCCATCCCTGACTTGACCCCGTCGCTGCCTCTCCCAGCGGCTCCATTCCCGCCAGCGGCCCGCGCCCTGCCTGTGCCTGCGATGGGCTTTCCCACGCAGTGGTGCGCGCGCGTCCCTTGCCTGCACTTCTCCATCGCCGTCAGCTCTCACCGGTCTTCCCTGGCCACGCCGTGTGAGGTGGCACCCCCGGCATCTCGATCCCTCTTCACTTAGTTTATTTCTCTTTTTTATTTATCACTCGTCACCACCTATTTTTGTTTCTTTTACTTTACAAAATGTGCCTTCCTCTCTAGAATGTAAGCTCTTTGCAGACAGGGATTTTTCTCTGTTCGTGACTGTAATTCCCCTTTGGCACGTATTCCATGGGCCCCAAGACACATCCCCTGCTTATAGGGGCATGTGGCCAGGAGTGGCCATCCCCGAGCCATGCCCGGGAGTTCGCCCACTCCCGGAGGAGCCCAGGCAGTGCTGTGGGGGTGAATGCACCCACTGTGTGGCGCGGGCACAACCTCGTCACTCCCCCCCGGCACCCTCACAGTGAGGCTGTGTCCATGCACGAGGGGCTGAGTGACGTCACCGGGATGCATTTTGGGAAGCGCCATGTGGTTCACAGACACCCGAGTTGCTCTGAATGCAAGCCTGACATCATACTGAAGGCAGCAGCGAACAGCATGTGCACAGTAAACAGGCAGAGACTGTCTTATTGATTAACAGATGAGGCCTCTATTATCGATCAGAGCTTGCCGAGGAAATTTATCACTTTTAATTTCAGGGATGCCAAATATTTCTGCCTCTGAGCCAGCCATTACAGAGACAATTTAAAGGTGCATGTCCCCCTGGGAGAGGGGGTTGCTGCCTGTCTCTGCTGGCTTGTGTGTCCTGGGTGCCTGCCTGAGCTGTTGGGCTACGCTGGGGGGAGTGGCGTTGGGGTGGGGTGTGCTGGGCTCGATGAATGGGAGCTGATGTCCAGGGCATCCGTGTGTGAGGAAGACTCTGACCGAGTGGCTGAGGACAGGAACTTGCACACCCTCGGCTCAATTTTGTGACTTCAGCCAGACAGGCTTGGAGGGGAAGGGCTTGGAGGGCGACCAGCTGTGGTCAGGTAGAGCCCAGCCAGCCGCTGCCTCGGCAGCGAGTGCTGATGTGCCGTCTTCCTCTGCGCTTGTCTGGCTCACACATCCGGCCCTTGATGTCCCACCTGCCTCCTTCCCTTCTCTCGGCCATTAAAGCCGCCCTGACACCACATCCAGGGCTGTCTTCTAGGAACTCCTCCTACCACATCCCTTTGAAGCGGAGCTCTGGCTTGCTGGGGCTTCCCAGCCCCACAGGGAGCCCTTTCTTTCTAGTCCCCACTTCCCTCCTCAGGCCCCTTCCCCTTCTCTAGGGAGCCATGAGAACTGATAGAACCAAAGAAAGAAATACAATTAAAACCAGATCCCTTACAGACCCACGGAAAATCATCGTGGCTAACGATTTGGGGCCGGGGCAGCTTCTCTGTGAAGGGCCGGGGCCGCCCCTCCCCGGTGCTCCCGCTCTGGCCCGTCTACTCTCTGAGGCTCACGCTGCATCTCCAGGGTCAATGTCTGCCACCTCTGTGACACAGGGTGGCTCTGTGGACGTCAGGCTTCCTGGCTTTCTTCAAAGCTCTGTAAGCCCCTCATAGGCCCTGGGGCCCAGGGGTGCCCTCCAGCTTGAAGGGAAACTCAGAGGGGTCAGCTGTTCTCCCTGCCTCCTGCAGAACTCAGCTCCAGCCACCTAGAACAGATGGCAGTGCTTGCTTTTAAAGCACTTAAGGGAAAGTTCTTTCGTATCTTTCCTGGGGCACTGTATCACGCGTTCATTCTGTCAGTCAGACAATGAACTGTATCACGCGTTCATTCTGTCAGTCAACTAATACTTGCTGAGCACCTACTAAAGGTCAGTGCCCTGTCGGGCCGGACAGTCCCAGTCTTCTCGGGCTCCTTGCTCCCTTCACTGGTGAGAACTGGTCATTGGTGTTTAATTGAAGACTGACCCTACAACTTACATTCTGAGTTCTAGCCCTTAAGAGTGTGCTAATACTCCTGATTTTAAACTTTTAAAGAGCAGTAGAACCATTTTTTCCAAATAGAGTTTTACACAAAACCTTGATGCATTCAAGGGGTAAGTTGGATTTTCACTTCTTTGATTTAAGAGACGGCAGCCCAGAGCTCACCCTCCCACCCAGGAGGCATCTCTGCGGGTGGAACCAGGAGGCTGGAGGGCACTGGGCTGCAGAGCAGAGGCTCTGACATCGGCTGCCAGCTTCGCCTCCACCTCCACTGCTCCTGTGGGACCCTGGGCCAGCTGCTGAACCTGCCCGAGCCTGAGGTTCTCATATGCTAAAGGGGGGTAGGAATGGTAAGCGCTTTAGAAGGGTTTCAGCATCAAATGCAATGGTATGTCCTCAGGACTTAGCATCCTGCAGTGTGTGATAAAGTCTCAGGAAATCTGAGAGGCTTTGAAAACGCACTGGATTGTTTCTGCTACCGCATTCTGCCTCTATGAACCCTGATAGACAACGAAAGCACAGGCACCCTCAGGGAGGTGCTCGGTCATGCCGAGGGGAGCAGAGGCAGCGGCGGGGGAGGGCGGAGCAGCGAGGGCTGGGGTGCTCGGTGCGTGCTTTCTCCAGTTTTGAAAATAGAAAGGGCCTGGAATAGAGGAGGCGTGAGCCCAGGCATCACTCAAGCCCAGAGACTCAGGGAGGGTCGGGTGGTGCACAGGGGCCAGTGAGGACAGCTCCCTGCGGAGGCCTTGAGGCCGAGGAGCGGAATGGAGAACCAGTGAGGGCCACTGTATCTTCTTGAGCAAGGAAGGGTGAGGAGCCACGTGACCTACAAGGGGCCTGCGCCTGCTGGTTGGCTCCGAGGGCAGCTGGTGGTGTGGCGGCCGTCCTGAGTCTTCGGTGTCCTGGGCATGGCCCCACGAGGGCCTGGTTGGGACCGTGATTAGGGACTTGCGGAGGAAGAGAGGCATCCAGTAGACATTTGAAAGAAAACCGCCAGGGCTCACACAGGTGCTCCCTGGATGGGATAACATCTTGAAGACGATGAGTAAGTGGTAAAAAGTCGTCCTCTCTAACTTGACGTTGTGACATTGTCACTTGGAGCCTTGTGAATAGTGGTTCTAAAAAAGTTTACCAAGTTGAATTGCACTGAATTGATTAGTTTATTCCACAAGTATGTACAGTCATAGGTCCCACTGGGGGGGAGGGGGGGAGCGGATGCCCTGCTCCCTCCCTCGGGAGCCAAGTGTCCGGAGATGGAGACAGACTGGCCCACAGGCATTGGTAAAGGAGCATGCGCGGCTGTGAACTGGACCGTACGGGGTGCGTCGGAGCAGAAAGGAGGGCTCCCTCCCCCAGACAGCGGGACAAGGGGAAGGAAGCTGATGCTTCAATGAGGACTAGAGACCGGCTGTACCGAGGTGCCAGGGCGAGGGGCAAGACTGTCAGAGACTGGAGGTACAGAAGGATGTGCAGAGACCTTGTGGTGAGAGAGGACACAGCTCCTCCCGCAGCCAGAGCAGCTCCTCACAGGGCTGGAGCCTGGAAAGCAGGAGTGAGGAAGCCGAGACAAAGCAGGGAAGCTGCTAAGCACACCGAGAAGCGCTTTGTGCCTTGGCCAGTTGCTCAGTGGTTAGAGCGCTGGCCTGGGCACTGAAAGGTCACGTGGTTTGATTCCCAGTCAGGGGCACGTACCTGGGTTGCGGATTCGATCCTGGCCCCGGTCAGGGAGTGTGCGGGAGGCAACCAATTGATGGGTCTCTCTCACATCAATGTTGCTCTCTCTCCCCCTCCTTCCTTGCCTTCCACTCTAAAAAATCAAGGGAAAGGATGTCCTCCGTGAGGAATAACAGAAAAACAAAACAAAAAAAAAGCACATTGTGAGCTATCAGGAGGGGTTTGGACTTTACCCAGAAGGCACTAGGGAGTCATTCCGGCTTTTGAATGGTCAGCTGTAGGAGGTGGCTGGGGGGAACTGTGGTTTAGTTTTGGACACACAGAGCTAGAGGCTTATCCAAGTAGAGGTATGTCAGTAATTCCTTGAAGCATAATCTAGGCAGCAGAGCACGCATCACTCACTCCTTCCCATCCCGCACCTGGAGCAGCCCCCAAAGTCCCTTCTTACCAGGTGTCTCATCGGGAGCCCGTCTCTGTTTGTCTTGGTTCCCTCTTCTCCCTGGGAGGGCCCTGGACTGCGCATTTGGAGTTCATGTGGGTGGTGGTTACCCCTTGAAGGAGGGCTTAGCTGGGCTGGCTGCTGAGGCCTTGATTCTCCCTGACACATCACAGGTGTTCACCCCCTGCCCCAGGTCCACCTGCTCTGTTTGGGCCCAGGACCCCGCCTCCTAATGGAATGTCACTCTGGGAAGTTAGTAACCGCCTTCCCTTTCTTTCAGCGGGCGCCAAAGCCTTTGTCTGCGATCAGTGCGGTGCCCAGTTCTCGAAGGAGGATGCCCTGGAGACACACAGGCAGACCCATACAGGTGAGTCGGCTTCGATCCCCATTCTCCAGCTCCTCCACAATGTGGTAGCACATGGATGGGAGGCATCTCAGCCGCACCCCTTCAGCAAGGCGATATCCAGTCATCTCCTGGGGACCTGCGAGTGGGGGTGGCTGGGCAGGTGTGACTTTGCTCCCTAAGAGCATCGCCCTGGATTAGGCCTAAATCTGTCTCTAACAGGCCACCAAGGTCCGTCTTCTCTTGTCAGGATCTTTCAAAGTCCGGGATATTGTCTAAGCATCCCCTTCCTCTGAAGGGTCAGGACACCCTTTATCCCCTGACCAACTCTGACACCCTTGTGTGGCCCAGTGGCTGGTCCCCCATCTGCGAGGGTAGAGTCATGGTCTAAAAGAAAGCAGTCTGCACACAGGGTGAACAAGCAACGATATCATGTTATTTGACTTCAAAGCATTGATTTCACAGCTTCTCATCACTGTGATCGCCACTGTCCTTGTCATGGGTGCGCCTCCCGCCCACTGGACACTCCTTAGGTGCCAAGCACCGGTCTGTGTCCCTGACCTCACCTGGCCTGTCTCCCAGTAAACGTGTAAGGTAGGAGGTGACTCCCATGTCACAGATGAGACTGAGGCTCGGGGGACAGAAGGTGACTTGCCTGAGTGAGTGAGCACGGGAGTGGTACAGCTTAGACCGTCTGGGATGAAACCCAGCTAACCTTTTAGCTCTGCCACTTCCTGTGTGTGGGACCATGGATCAGTTACTTAAACTCTCTCAATTTCAGTTTCCTCATCTGTTAGAAAAGTGGAGTAATGATAGTACCTACCATAGAGAGTTGTAGGGATTAAATAAGATGTTTTATTTAAGGTGATTGGCAGAATGTTTGGCTTTTAGTAAGCATTCAATACATAGTAGTAGATGTATTTAATTTAATAAGTATGTGTTGAGTCCCTACAACATTCCTGGCACTGTTGGGCCATTTAGGGAGAGTAACATAGGTGACGGACAGCGCTTCTCATGGAACTGTGATCCTAACAGGGCGAGAGTATAGGCAAATAGGTGTCTAATACACTGCCACGTTATAGTAAGTGCTGGTGAGAACAGATAAAGCAGGATGAGGGTAGAGAGTGATGGGGGGAAAGTGGAGTTTTAATCAAATGGTCGGGGAAGGCCTCTCAGAGAAGGTGGCATCTGAGCAGAGTCCTAAAGGGAGGGACTGAGCAGCACAGCGTTTTCAAATGCTTGCAGACCATAAGCTGATCAGAGACTTGTAGTTATAAAATATAAAGGAGTCTTATGTCTCAATAATAAAAATACAAATAACCAACATTAAAAACGGAAAAAGGAATCTGATAGACATTTCTCCAAAAATAGACAAATCCGTGAGCTGTCAGAAAATGCAGATCAAAATCTCAGTGAGGTCCTCCTTCACCGGGGCAGGATGTGGCTGTAATAAAAATACGACTGCGAGAAGGGTGGGCGAGGATGTGGAGAAGTCAGAACCCCGCGCTGCTGGTGGGGGTGCGGAATGATGCGAGCATTTTGGGAAACAGTCTGGTAGTTCCTCAAGAGGTTAAACAAAGTCACCGTATGACAGGGCAGTGCCCCTCCTAGGGACGTACCCAGGAGAAATGAACACATGCAGCTACACAAGAACTTGCACACACGTTTATCGCGGCGTTGTTGATGGTAGTCAGAAGGTAGCCCTAGCCAGTGTCTGCCCGCTGACGAATGGATGAAATACCATGGAATATTATTCGGCTACAGAAAGGAATGAGGTGCTGATACATTCCACAGCATAGGTGAACCTTAAAAACCTCACGCTCTGTGAAAGAAGCCAGACACAAAAGGCCGCGTGGTGTACGGTTTCATTTACAGGAAACACCCAGAGAGGCAGATCCATACACAGAAAGGAAATGGGGGTTCGTTTCAAGTGAAAATGTTCTAAAATTGTGATGGTTACACAACTCTGAATGTATTAGAAACGATTGAACTGTCTTCAGTCACTCTTAATATGGTTTGGAACTGTGCGTGTCTACCTACACACAGATCTTTTTCAGGAAATACCTGTACTGTTTGTGCTCTGTGGTTGGGAGTCCGCGGATACAGAGGGCTGGCCGTATGCTTTGATCTATGCCATTTTATATAGGGGACTTAAGGATCGTGGGCACTGAGGCACAACTGAGTTTGGGGGAGTCAAAAGTTATACACGGATTTTCAGCTGCATGGGAGGTCAGCACCCCGAACCCCCCATTGGTCAGAGGTTAGCTGTGCTTTAAAAGCATGAATTGCACAGTGTGTGGTACCTGAATTATATCTCGGTAACGCTGCATACACACGCATACACACGCACATTTATAGGGGAGGGGACAGTAGCTCACCACAGGGCTAGAATGGGAGGGTGGCCTGACTCAACTTACGTGTCTGGGCGAGCGCCCTGGGCCCTGGGTTGAGCGGGACCACAGGAGGGTTTCCGTTGTCAGCGGCTCTACAGCAGTTGATTGAAGCAACGGTGTCTTGGGCAGTTGTGTGGTTGACTGTGCTCAGCCGGACAGTTTTCACCTGGGGCCTTGCGTGGGGTTGCAGTCGGGGAGTGTCTCCCTGGGGTATTCTGCAGACTCGACCGGCCTGGGTGTCCAGTGGCCTCCTCAGCCCCTCGCGGGCTATCGGTGCTCCCCCACGTGCCCTCCAGAGCCGAGTAGCTGGACTTCATGACAGCGCCGGGCAGCCCCCCTGAAGCTGGGCGGGGACGCGGCATCGCTCCGCCAGGCTTTAGTGATCACAGCAGGCACAGGTCAGCCCAGGTTCCGGGCGGCCGACTAGAGTCCTTTCTGGGAGGGCTGGCAGGCAGACAGGGAGAGGAACTGATGGCAGTCGTCTCTGGACTCAGGGCTGAGCCACCACTGGTGTGTGTGTGTGTGTGTGTGTGTGTGTGTGTGTGTGTGTGGACTGCAGTGGAAGAGGGAGGGATCCCAGTGAGCTGCTGCCGTTACAGTTATTGTCGCAGGTATGTCCTTGTCCTGCCTCCTCACCAGGTCTGCTCTCCTGAGCGGGCTGGTGCCACCGGCGTTGGCCTGTGGTAGTGGGAGGAGAGCCTTCTAGGCGAGCTGGCACTCCTGCCGGCGCCTGCCTGGCTCCGTTGGAGACGGGGACTTGCCCAGATAATTGTGCTCAGGGCCCCAGAGCTGGTTGTCTTGAGAGCCAGAGGCGATCTCCCCGGCCCAGCTCTAGACCTCACGTCACCGAGGACCCCACCCTGGAACTGCTCCGGGGCTGAGAGACTGCGTGCGGGCCAGGGTGCCAGGCAGCTCATTCTGTCCATCAGGTTCATGTGCAGAGCAGGGAGCGAGCTGCCACTCAGCCAGGCCTGGGAAGAGGCACAGTCCCGCGCGGGGAGCAGAGGGGACTCTGTTCGCAAGCAGACCCCCACCTTCTGGCCTGGCACTTGCTAGGGACATGGCAGTGACCAACACAGACACCTCCCAGCCCCCCCCCCCCCAACAGCTTTCTTCAGATATAACTCACCGTACAGCTCACCTGTTGAAAGTGTACAGTTCAGCAGCTTGGGTATATTACTCTGTTAATTTTTAAGGCAGTGGTAAAACATGTGCAACATAAAATTTGCCATTTCAACCGTTTTTATTTGTACAATTTGGTGATATTAATGACCCAGGCCTGTTTTCAGAGTTTGGGTTTTGCATTGGCTTTGAAAGTCAGGACGTGTCCTCGGACCAGTGACTTTCTAGGATTGATGAAGTAACGAGAACTTGAGAGAGTCAGCCCTTTCTGGAAAAGGACTGTTTAGAGAGAGATGATTTGGAAGAGCCTGGAATTGGAGTCAGAAGCCTGGGGTGGGGCTCTAACTTCACTACCTGGTTGGTGAGTACCTTGCCTTGTTACTCGCCTTTCTGCCCTACAAGTCCCCTCACCTGCGAAAGGAGCCTGGTGCGGTCCCTCCTGTGGCACAGGTAGGGCCCAGCCCGCTCAGCCTGGCTTTGCTCCTCCAAGCTGAGTGCTTGGAGCTCGTGAAAGGGGAAAACAGTTGAATCTCAATTAAGGACGAGGGACCAAGGCGGGTGCTTTGAGAAAGGCTCCCTCCCCACCCGGGTGTGAGAGTGGCAAGCTCCCCCAGCCGAGAGGAGCGCCTCCCGGTGCCACCGGGCTGGGCCCTCCTGGGCAGAGGTGCAACGGCAGCCTCACCCTCAGCGGAGGGCCGGCACCCAGGCGGCTCTGCCTGACACGTGGCAGAGCTCGCAGGTCACTTCCAGCGCTGTTTCCGCGGAACCCACACCGGGCTTCAGGCTTCTCTATGACCAGTCCTTGGACGAACACAACTGAAATCCGCTTGTCATCTCTGTTCTCAGAAAGGGACCCCATGACGGGGAGAGGCCTGATGTGAGGAGTGCTGGTAGGAGCGCTGGGGGAGCCAGCGGGTGCCCGGGCTGTGGAGAGCCAGCAAGAGAGCAGGGAGCGCGCTCTGAAAAGGAGGAGGAATCGAGACCCCAGAGTAAAGTAATGGCAGTGCCACCTTATACTTCTGACACCTTAGTTTATAAAACGCCTTCCTGTATTATACCCATTTAATAGATGAGAAAATGAAGGTCTAGAAGCCACCCACTAGGAGGTGAGAGCTGGAACTTGACCAACTTCAGTGCTCTTCCTACGACGCCTCAGCTGCCTGCACATTGATTTACTGTTTAAAGAGAGCATGTCAGAGACCATTTAGCTCATTGATCTCTGGTCCGTTTGATTAAGAATCCTCAACATGCTCTAGCCGGTTTGGCTCAGTGGATAGAGTGTCGTGGGCCTGCAGACTGAAGGGTTCTGGGTTTGATTCTCATCAAGGGCACGTACCTCAGTTGCAAGCTCCTCCCTGGCCCGGGCCTTGGTTGGGGTGTGTGTAGGAGGCAACCAATCAATGTTTCTCTCACATCGATATTTCTCTCTTCCACTCTCTCTAAAAAATCAATGGAAAAATATCCTGGGGTGAGGATTTAAAAAAAAAAAAGAATCCTCAGACCCTGATG